TATTTGTGGGACTGTCTATTTCCAATTATTTCTACCTATCCAGTAACATCTGACAGGTCCAGCATGCTCCAGGCCCCATCACTTAGGCAATGTTGTCTGGTGGGACCCAGAAGATGCGCCGCCTTTGCTGCTGACCTCACTCTTTGGAACAGCACCCTTCTGAGATTTGGTTGGCCTTGATCTTGCCTGCATTTCAAAAGGCATTAAGTATCTGGTGAATTCCCCAGGGCATGCTATGAATTCCCTGGATGATTTTTTCCCCCCAGCACTCTATGTCCCTATGTTTTTCTGTCACTTTTTCTCCATAACTGTGAAAAGCACAATACAGGTTCTCAGCTATAGCTAGACTTCAGTAACTGAGACTTACGTAACCGGCTTTCTTATCACTGGGTTATTTCCTAAATAAACCTGTATTTTCTTTCAGGCAAGGAGCCGCTTCAGAAATACTTTCTTACAAAAGTTGTACGCCTTGCTCTGGTGTTTATCTCCCCGTGCGTTCTTTCTGCTGAGCAAAGCTACCTGCTAACCAGTAAGAAGTGCTGATTTACTTTTTAACGAGCTGACCTGCTTTTCACAGTCAAAAATGAATCTCCTATTCCTCGCTTGTTGAGTTAAGCGGTTGTGTGAGTTCACGACAGAGATTTTGAGTATCTTGCCACTAGGGCACCCCACTTTTTCTCAGTTTAGTTTCTCCTTGGTACGAACAGCCAGTCACGGCTGTGAGATGGGGGGCATATAAATGATTTAACTCAGTGCATTAAATGAAAATAAAACCAACCCAGAGCAGGGGATGCAGCCTCAGAAGTGCTTTTATGGCATTGCAGTAAAAGTTGTCTCTCCGTGGGGCAATCGCAGCCATTTAGAAATGAAAAGAAAAGAGATGCGTGAAATGGGGCTCTTCAACCCTGCAACGCTTCTGTTTTGCTTTTACGTTTGAAAAATCTCAGCAAAACCAAACAACAAGCGGGCCCAGAGCGACTTGTGAAAATGACAAATATTAGCTCAGCATTGTGCAGCGGGCAAATTCAACAAAGTGTGCCATTGCTGAGGCAGCAGTTCCTCCCCGCAAAGGACACCCATGAATATGGATGAGTTCAGTTAATAACATCTAAAGAAAAGGTTTGGGAAATCAAAACATCTCTCTACAGCAGA